GTTATCTCCTTACTCTCCTTTATTCCAATTACCACCACCAGACGCCAATGTCTTACCATCAGGAGAAATACTAACAGACAATACCCAATCGCCATGACCATTTAATTAATTAAGTTCATGAATTTTAATGTTCTTCCATTTGCAATTAAAGAGTTAAGCTCCACTAAGATTAACTCCACTCATTTCGACATTTTCAAATACTGATCCACTAAAGTTACACCTAACAAAATTTGCACCAATTAGAGAAGTATCTCTTATTCTTATGTCTTCCCAACTCTAGTTACTAAGATCTGCCTTCATTTAAACTAATAAATTTAAAGAATAGGATCCACATTAGATAAACCTCTCATCAATACTTGAAAAATGGACTAAAAATTTAAGTACATCAATTATTTTTTAGTTATTATTGATCTACTTTACAAAATCTTCCCTTACTTTATTATTTGATTCCTCATAGTAGTTCGGTTTGCTAAAAGGATGTTCCAAGATATTTTTCAACATATAAGTAGTTCTTTGAACGAACTTTTTCACCTCACTTATCTTCTTCTTGTTATTACTTAAGGATTAATAAAGTTCTATATTATTTTTCTATTAAAGGAATATAAGTATGTTTGGAGATTTCTCTTTTCTTAATATCCCGATGACCTCCTTTAACATTGAAGTATCAATGTCTGAATTCAAAATATCATACAAATTATCTTTTTTTATAAAGGGTTCATCTTCACCCACAACTTCCTATTAAGACCTAATATACAAAAAAATACTTACTGAGTGAATTACTTAATATTTTATTAATGTCTCTATAATTGTTCCATCAAGACCTAAATGTCTCTTTCGCAGTTAAACTTGTTCTCTTCCAACTTCATCATGTATTAATTCTTCTTATCATTCCAATCAATTAAAGTTTTCCCTTCAACAATGGATACTAGTTTTTCAATATCAGTATAAGAGGCTTCTGCCATGTTACAGTTGACGAGGGTAATATAAGATTGGTTTTCCTTTTCAATCTCATCATATATTTGTTGAATGGATTGAGACAGCTCTTCCCATATTTTTTTCAGCAAAGTTGAAGTTTCAGATAGCATCTTCTTAAAAGCCATTCTTTACTAAGTTATCATCGATTTTTCATCTAGCTTTTATTGTTATAATTTCTCTTAAGCCATTTCCTAAAAAATTTCTATTGGAATTATCTATTTCTTATCCACATCGTGTTTATATTGACACACATTACACAGTTTCCGTTGGCATTGGCACTTATGAGGAGCTATACAAATAAATGACACTTGGTTTTGAAAATGATAAGTGCAATTCATAATATCTTGTAAAAAAATTATTGAATTTCTATTACTTTTTATTAGGTTATAAATTATGAGACAAATATCTTATACATGAAATTTTAGGTTATAACAAAAGATTGTTAAAACGAGTATTTTAATGTTTTAGATATAAATAAATCATATTAAAATGCATAAATAAGTATGGCTTTTNTCAGTATGCTTCTCACCAGATGGAACTACTTTAGCATCTGGTAGTAATGATAACTCAATCAGATTATGGGATGTTAAAACAGGATAATAAAAAGCCAAATTAGATGGTCATTCTAATTGTATTAGCTCACTATGCTTCTCACTAGATGGAATTACTTTAGCATCTGGTAGTTATGATAACTTACTCAAATTATTTTAAAACAGGATATTAAATACATTCCTCAGATAAAAAGTGTAAGGAAATTCAGCACAATTTAAAACTCCTATTTTAAAAATAGTTTGCTATTCAATAATGCTATTAAATTTCTTTTTAAACTTTTCTTAATATTTAAAAAAAAATACAGCTTTGAAACCTTAGGAGCTTAAATCTTGGTGGACAATTTGTCAATTAAACAGGCAAAGTTTTATAAATTTTATTAAAGGAAAAAGGAATTCACTTTGTATAAATAAAACAAGAAATGTAGACTTCATATATATTAAATGCATTAAAATTATTTTTAATAACAATTATTTAATTTCTATTCTTATACACACATTAAAATCTTTTAGTTGCTGCCTATATCTTTTCTCTTTTGAATATTAAAATTGCTATTCAAATGATTGGGAAAGCATAAAAGAACTTTTTTAAAAATTCTAAAGGAAATTGATTAATTTTCATTTTCCCTCTATTTTTATAAAAATCATCATGGAAATTCTTAAAAAAAATTAAGGGAAAATCAATTATCCTTTAAATAAAAAAATTGAATATTTTTACAAATATTAAAAAACAAAGGGAAACCTCAAAAACATTAAGTAGAAAAGAGAAGAAAATTAAGGGTTATTTTTGAAAAATTGCTTTCAAAATTTTTCTTAACCATATGAACAATCCACTATAATTATGTTAAGCTCTCCAATAAACTTATTGATGCACAACAAGTATTATTAATTAAATTTTAATATATAAATTTTAATAATTACATTATTATTAAACTCTAAATCAATAGATATAAATTAATATTGCAATTTCATTCAGATTCGATCTCTAAAACCTTATTAAAATCTTGTCATCTTCAAACAAATTATTTTCAAATACTGATCAATATATATCACCACCAAATCATCATACCTTTCTTTATTTTTGAAGATGGCTTAAATTCTCAATTTCTATCCTAATCTAATCCAGTAATATTGTTTAATTAAGAAACTAAAAAAAAGATATAAAAAATTAGTAATTAAATATAAGTGATTTAAATAGATAATTTGAAATTCAAATTAAGAGAATTTGATTGTTGAATTAGATGAATAAGCAGAAAGCTCAATATATCATTCTGAATTGCAGCTCAGTAACTATAGAGCAAGGTATCAAGATTTGTGATTAAATATTATGTTATAGAGTTTGAAAATTTAGGATGCAAAGTTTTCTAATTCTAATCGAATAATTAAAAGAAAAATAGACATTAATTAAATCAGCCTACATACCAGCCAAAGATCAAAACTAATATCATTGCTATTCTAGAAGAACCTTTCGACTATAAGACTGTAATTCAATAATAAGAAAGAAAGCACAAGACAATAACGACAATTTGTGCTTAGAAATTCTTAATAATGAATACTTTCACCCAAAAAGGATACACTATATTTCGGTACATCTACATAAACACATTATCATTTATAATCCTAAAAAAAAGAAATATTTTAAATATGGATAAAAAAATGATTAGCTATTAGAAGACTTCGCAAATATTTCATGTAATGAAGAAGAAAATAAAAAATTCCTCACCAACCGAAGCTAAATTCAACCTTTTACCTCCCTTAACAATTATTCACCAAGATTATTCTCCAAATAACCAAATCATCAGGATAGTATTGATAAATAAATTGAATAATAAATATAACTATCTATTAAAAAGTAATTAGACTCTTAGGTTAAGGAAGTATTAAAACAATCATTAAATAATGCTTATCAAACACCTAATAAAAGCTAAATTAATAAAAGAAATGCCTAATCGTAACAAAAAAGAGGGAGGAATCTTTTCATGTTTTCTAGATGAATAAGACAATCTATAATTTGGAAATGTAGCTATCGATCAATGTTTAAATTAACTAAGTCTAATTTCAAATAAATAGTTATTTGCTCCTCAATAATTACCATCTTTACCTTAACTTTCGTCAATTGAGATTTCTGACATTAAATGATTGATGTCAAACAATAAAGCAATATCTTTTGATAGTATATCTTGACACTTTCATTTAAAAAATCTACAAATTTCTCTCTATTTTGAAACATTTGGCAAAATTCTATTGCTGCAGAACTAGACTAATTCCATTAAATCAAGCTTTTCCTTCCAATCCTAGAAAATATTAATTTCGCCCAATACTAAGCCCTCTATATAAGCTACTTGAACTTAGATTTCTACCCAAGTCACAAAACTATCTTACAACTAAATTATCTAAAGATTAATCTGATTTTATTCCATTCTCTTCAACTTAAATAAATATCACCAATCTATTAAATGTGATTAATTAATACAAGAAAAAATCACGAATGAATTGTATATTTACAGATTTTAGCTGCGCTTTTACTGTTGATAGAAATATTTTATACTAGATAATAACCCAAAAGAATATCCTAGATGATCTTGAACTCCAATTTTTAAGAAATTTACATTCTAATATGCATTATATCAACTCACTCAATAACTAAATCTTCTTCTTTGCTAATGGTGTCCCTGAAGGCTCACCATTATCAGCAGCTTTATTTAATATATATTTAGAAGAATTCCTAATTTAATTAAAGAAAGTCTGTAATGTTAATTACACAAGCTTCTAGAAAATCTTATTAATTAATCATCAAAATTTAATCTAAAAATCAATAAGTCAAAATGTGGAATATTTCACCTGCATAATCATTATCGAAATAAAAGGTACAATTTTTCTTTGATTTTCCAATCGTTAAGAACTATAAATATCTAGAAGTTTTAATCTCTAATGATGGTAAACTTTTTCACCATATAATGTAAATTGAAAGTACTATAACTTATCTTAATTCAAAAATCACTTGGATAGCAAAAGCATGTAATTGGCAACTAAAACTTTATCTTTGGCAAACCTTCATCTTACCCAATATTATTTATTTTATTCCATCAACAATGACTGAAAATAATTTAATTTATTAAAATAAACTCAAAAAATTATATATAGGAAGCTTTAAAAAGACATGTAGATTTCTCTTATCACTTTCTAATACAATTTTAAGCTTTATAAGCCCTCCTTTTGAATTACTATGCAATAAAATAATATGTCAAATTAAAAGCAAAATTAATTATCATGGATATTTAGAGACCGAGTTTAAATAAAAAATTGATCAACTTAGATCAATAAATTCCTTCTTTAGCACCTTAAAATTTCAATGTATTATTTAAAATTTTATAATAGAAAGTGTAAGGTACATTAATGTTATCATATCCATATTATAAACTAACATTCTAGCTTCTGTTATTCTGAACTTTTAAACCATTTTCAAAATATTAAAAACCTAAATACTAAGTAAAGAGGCAAATGATAAAATAGATACCTTCTTGGAATGATTATTAATGATTTATGTGTTAAATTGAAATAATAATAATAACTTTCTATAAGTCCCCTATTGGTTTATCTTACTCATCATTTACTATTTTCTTTAATGTTTCATTTGCTCTATCTTTCGTAACAAACTATATAATCATTTCTCCTTTCCATCTCTCATTCTTTTCTTTTTTAATTATGGCTGCCCTACATCTGTCAACCACCATGCCGCTGATTTATAATCGTTAAATTATTGTAGATATTGTACTGATTCCAACTAATCTCCAGATAGTCCCTCCTCGTCTTTCTGTTTTAAGCATCTTCTTATTGTTCATGTGATTGCCATGTCATGTACTATTCCATCATATTTAAGTTCTCTAAAGCATAGCTAATTCGCATTTATTGCTTTCTCTTGTTTTTTCTTTGCCTCTTCTTCATAATCACCATATTTTGATTCTAGCTAAATCTTATCACATACAAAGTTCTAAGTCCCATCTTCATTCCTCATCATTGCTTGGGTTATTGGTCGTCTTATAATCATCTCATATCCAAAAGATCTCTTATGTGACTTATGTTGTCTCTTTCTATTTACTCTTTTATTATCTCTTTTTGTTGGAGTTTGGTGGTAATCTATCTCTTCCTCTTGTTTTCTTTTCATCATCTGATATTATAATTGTTTATTTCTATATCCCTGTATTAAATTAATTTTAAGTTATAATCTCCTCTTCATTTTATTCCAATTATTTTCATGTAATGATTATCGATTATTGTTTTTATTTTTCCAACATATTAAATTTTTCTTCCACTTGACTCTGTGAAACATTTTGGACATTTTGTTGTTGAGGTTGTTGTATTACCTATACTTGATTGATTTCGACATTTAATTATTATGGTTGTTGTGTATTATTATTATTATTATTCATTTTCTGATGAATCTTGATTAGATATTATTATTGAATCATTTTGCAAAATTTTTTTTTAAAATCCTTCCATTCCATTTGGTCTTTAGAAACTTGCAATTTGGTATTTAATACTAAGGGTATCCTAGTTCTGTAAATTTCATCCATGTTAAGTCTAATTTCTGGGAAACTTAGTATTGTTTTTAACTTATATGTTCTATCATATTTAAAATTTTCCTGTCTTTGGGTTTCTAGTCTTTCACCATCTTTCTTACCATTTCTTCATTTATGGTTCTCTTTTCCTCTTATTGAAGCTATGTTTGCCTTTCTGTCAAGAAATAAGATTAAATAATCTCATTTTTAGATAGTCATTGCCTGAACGCCCTCTCAGTCCATACTGATTAAAGTATAGATTTACGAGCCTCTAAAGCAAATCTGAAAGGAGAATTAGATTTATTTTTGCTTCCATTTCTACTTTAACTAGTGTTCCTTGGGGTATCCTCTTTGACATGTCATTAAATTTATTAATTTTATTTTTTATTTTATCTTTCAAATGTTACTTATACACCTATTGAGAAGGATTTATTAAGAGAGTATTAAACTGGGGACTAAATTTTGGATTGATTTAAATCATCAGTAGAAGTGACTTTTCAACAATAATTTCAATAAACTCCAATAATTATTACTCAATCAGGAATTTATTTTTTAGAGGTAATATGATTTTTATTATTAATCAAAATTTAGAATTATAAATAGTGCTCTCCTATTAGTAATGTAGTAAATTTCTGATTTGAAGTACATCAATATATTTTTTATATAATTATATGAGATAGTTGAAATAACCCCTTACAATGCTACTGTAGGCATTTCTAATACCATCAATTTGAAGTAAATACGTAATCAAATCAATTTTTTCGGGTATGATTAAAGCACAATTAACTGCTAATAGTGATGTTTCAATAACTTTTTCTATGAAACCAGTTAAATTTTTAATATATCTCCTAGTGATACTATGCAAATAATTTAATTCAAGATCTAACAACTGATAATATCTGAATGTTTAAATTTAAATTTTAGTTTAGATGTATGCTTGAGAAAAAATAATTATTAATCATTTCCGCCTTTTTTTGTTTACTCTGAAAATCTTAATAAAAATTTTATTTTAATTAATTTTAAGATTCCCTGGGTGCCTTAAAATTTAATATTTTCTTTTTCATAAAATTATTTTAAGTTTTTTATAATTTTTATCTTTTCTAAATTTTAAATATATTATCATTAAAATTTCTACTTGAATAGAATACGGATTAAATTGTTCTATAATAAATAAATGTTGAGAATCTGATGCAATCAATGCATATCTGCAAGACTTCCTTCTAAATCCAAACAATCGAAGGATTTCAACCTCTATGGAAGAAACCATAGTGTCAAGTATGCAAGAAAAGCCTTATAGAAACCATTAGGGTGGATAAAAACACGGATAGATACATTTGAGTAACTGAATAAATGAGATTACTTATCTATTAATATTAATTAATAATTCCAAAATTATTTATTATGATCTTAATTAATTTTTCCCATTTATTATTATTTAAGAGAGTATTTAACTCATGAATAAATATTGATCATCTAGACCTTTGTTTATTTTTCATTTTTAATCAGATTTTAATTTATTTTTTAATGATAAAATAATTCTCAGGAAAATTTTTAATTTATTTAATCAATAATGGCACCATAAACGATGATATTTATTTAAGTTAATGTCTTGATGTAAGTATTATTATTTACATTTATTGAATTTGATAAATAAACATTATTAATATTGACTTTTCTTTAACTCTATATTAATTTTTTTAGTTAGATAAATAATTAAATATATGGGATTATTTTATTATTCAAGTATTTTTGAATACTCTTATACATGATAATCTTTTTATTTATCAAAGTTTCAATTAGATTTCTCTTGTTTAATGATTCTGAAAATTCAATAATTTCATCCTCATTTGGTAATAGAGCTAAAAAGCTATAGTACCAATTTGAAAAAATTAATTTAAATATTAACATAAGTTGATTGAAGAAGTAATATTATAAACTAACTTTAAGAAATGGAAATATTAAATTTACTTAATTTTGATTAAAATTAGAATTTTTTCATTTTATTAACCACATATTAATCTTTCATTTTATAATTTTATTGATAAAATTCCCTGTGTTACCCAAAAATAATGTAGACTAAATAAACTTTTCAATGCGTTTTCATAGAATATACGCCTTATTTAATTAATAGTTAATAGGTTGATTAAAATTCGCTTGAAAATTAATCTTGAATAGTTATTACTTTAAAAATAGCTTATTAAGAATTTAAATTTTACAAAATAAAGAATAATTGAAATTCCACATCCATACTAAAAAAAACAGATAAAAAAAGTTCATGCAAGCAAATAGAGAATATAATAATTAAATAGTATTCTTTAGTAAATAATACAAAATACTTATTTTATTTGAATATAGGGTAGTCTAAACTTAATTATCAGCAAGAGTAAAACAACTTTTGAAAGTAGCTCTATACGAATATATCTTAATTTTTAAATAATCTACATCTATATTTGAATTTAATTAGAACTACTAAGTAATAGTAAGAAAAACTTTATTAGAAAGTCAAGGATAATTTTTTCTAAATTATGTATATATGGGTATATGGCTATGAAAATCACTACATAAACGAATTAAAGAAGCTAATTCAGTATGGTTAAGAAATATTCATTTCATTTTTTTGTTGATTACAAAATGTTAAAGATTTGTTTGAAAATTAAATAAGGTTATCAATATTGAGACTTAATGACAGCTAGTAAAAAAGTATTCAATAATACTATTATTTTTCAAGCATTAACTTAGTAATAATCATCTAAATTAATTTAAACTTATACATTAAAATTTAATTGATCTTATTCTGATTAATCAGCATTATTTTTCGAAATTTCTTCTCTAAAATAATTTCGTTTAGAGCAATTTTTACGTTTTTATTATGAAAAATTTAATTTTTAAAATCATTGTAATTTGGTATTTTTGGTAATTATTGGATAGAATAATATCATGTTTTTATCAATTAGGTGAGTAATATCGAATTCCTTGATTCATTTAATGTTTAGTTTAAAAATATTGTAATTAAAATTTTTAAGTCCCGAAGTCAACAATAAAATAAAATTTATTTAAATGTAATTAAAAATAAACCATGGAATTTAAGAAATTAAATCATATCGAGAGTTGTTAATTATTTCCTAAGCATTAAGCTGATTGTGAAAAATGATAATAAAATTAATTAAATCTCAGATATCTTAATTAAACATTTAATTGTTTATAACAATAATATTTAAATGCAGCTTTATTTAATTGAAAATATAAACTACTTTTGAATCAACATTATAAATAGTTATTTATTCTTGTATTCCAATTAAAAGTGATAAGCCTCCTTATTTATAACTCAAAATTTATATATGAATCATTAACTCAAGAAGCAAGTTTAATCATCTAATTATACAAAGTATGAAAATTGATATTGAAAAATCCATCGTAATTTTTGGTCATCTTTTGCGCAATATGCTATTAATCTTCATTTAATAATTATTAGTTATTACTATGTTCATAAAAATGAAAATAGCTATTATGATATAAAGGACACATTTCAGATAATTTAATGATGCTTTCAACACAAGATTGTATTTTCTTTAGATGTTTAATTAAATAATTAAATTAATTCTATTTTATTGATTATATCCCCTTCTAATATAATCTTTATAATAGGATATAATCAATTATATATGTAGAAAATAGGTTCACCTCCAAAATAAAAGTACGATCTTAGATGCATTGGCGCTTTTTGATTGATAACTAATTAAAAGACAAGTTAAAAATTTTATATAAAACCAAATAAAATGAAATACTTTGGTATCAATTGTTTTAAACAAAGCTTATATTAATATATCATGATTGATAGAATTTGTTATTATTTATCTGAAGCATGTACATCTATCTATAAATTAGTAGATATAGTTTTTATTGGTTAACATCTGATGGTTTTGACAAAATAACAAAGAGTAAATCCTTTAAACTCATTATGTGTGAGAATATACAATAGGATGCTATAAGAACATTTATGGATTCTAAATTTGGATGAATAGATCATTTGGAAAGATTTTAATCTTTAAACGCTATATTGAACTCTTTTTAGATAAAGGGTGCTATTCTCAAAAATTAGGGAAAATGATAACTTTGATTTCAAAAATAAAAATAACTACACAATTAAATCCTTCTTATAACGAATGACAATTTATTATTTGTCAATAATCTTGAAATCAAAGTAAATTAGGATTGCCTAATGATTTAATTTTAAGCAATTTTATTTAAATTTTTATATAGATTCTTCTTTTGGCTTTGATTTAGAATAATACAAATTTATATGCTTTATTACTCCTTCTAATAGTTAATTTAATATAGTAATCTTTTATTATAAAAATAAAAGTTTTGAAACTATAAATTTAAATTTCACTGTAAAAAGCGAAAGAAAAGCTAAGTATTTTCTTTGAATAATAGTTGAATTAATATGTAAAATAATACCATATAAAGGTTTTCTTATTGTAGTTATCCTGTGAAGCTATATGAATTAATAATTTTGAAATATGCATCTATCACCTAAATCATAAATAGAAAAGAGATAATCAATTAAATTATTATAAATAAATTCTACACTCAGCATTGATATAATAGATATATGATAGAACATTCATCATCAGATTCTATTTCATTTTAATTATTATTTCCATAATTTAGATCAGAATTTTCATTATTTTGATTATATTCCCATTATTTTTATTAATATTTCCATCATCCAGAACACATCTTTAATCTAAATCCTTATCCAAATGCATTCTTAATTTTCATTTATTTAACTAATAGATTCACAAAATATACATAAATAGTAATTGTTCAAATTATAAGAATAATAACAATACGAATTAGATTGGTTTGCTAATTATTGAAGGCTAACATCTCTTGATTAAAAAGAATACAGTTATATGAAATAATGGTTATGAAAAAGTTGAACAAGAAAAAAGACAATCAATTCAAGAAGTTTATTTATGGATTTCTTCGTAATCTTTGCCTCATTTATTTTATAATTCTCTTTTTAAATCTGGTAGATTTTATTTTTATTATTCTAATTCATACCAAGAACGACAATCTTAATCTTCATCTTCAAAATATCCATTCTTATAAACACTTTATTTATCGGTAAGTTTTCTATTTATTTAGAATTCACAAATTAAACAACCAGACTTTAAAATTTCACTCTAAATTAAACAGTTTGAATGTGAAAAATTTTAGAATCTAAATTTAAAGTAGAAAAATCTTCTATTAAATAAAAAATAAATTTAATTATTATTTTTTTTTTGAATTTGATATTATTATAAATAGATTAAAATCTATTGTCATTTGGGCATTCTCAAATACTATATTAACAATTTCAAAATTTTTAATCATTTTTTTAAATAACATTAACTTTTTTGATTACTCACTTTATAAAGTATTTTTATTATTAATAAAAAATAAAAAAAAAAAATAATAACTTAGATCGGAACTGATAATGCTAAAAATTTTCTTTTATCAATCAATTTTATTTAGGAAAAATTGTTTGTATTTTCTGATTTTCAATCTTTAACATTGGAAATTTGAAAGCATCTTTTGTAAACTGGGGCTTAAACAATCCAAAAAATAGTTTAATATTATATTCGTTAAAGAACAAAAACACTTTTCTAATTCTTTCATGAAAATGAATTTTAAATTAAAAAATTTTCCTCAAAAAAGGTTTCTTCATTAATTTATTAGCATATTATAATTATATAGTCTTTATTAATTAATCAAATGTTTGAGAAAATATTAGAAAAAGTATTGATTTAATATTTTGGGAAGTTCATCAGTGGACTAGATAAAAATAATTTAAAATTAGGAGTATGGAGTGGAAATATGGTTATAGAAAATGTGAATCTAAAAGCAGATATTATTGAAATGTTGGAATTACCAATACAATTAAGCAAAAGCAGTATTGGAAGATTAACAATTAAAATTCCTTGGAAAAAAATTACTAGCGCACCTGTTGAAATCACAATTGAGAATGTTTTTGTTACATTAATTCCGCTATCTGAATGGCATTTTGATGATAATAGAGTCTTGTTGAAAAAAATGGAGGCTTTAACAAGTTACTGTTAGAAGTGTTTGAAAAGAGGTATTAAGAAAAAGAAAAGTGAATAAAAAGATAAGGGTTATTTAGATAAAATGGCTTTAAAAATTATGGATAATATTTAACTTAAAATTATTAATATCCATATTCGATATGAGGCAATGTACAACTGGGGTATAACTTTAGAGATACTTGATATTTTTACAACAAATTAATATTGGCAGAGAAGTTATATAGATAGGTCAGAAATACAAAATGCTAGTATGAATAAGTTATTTTAATTGAAAAATTTAGCCATTTATTGGAATATTTAAAGTGAGCGTTAAACAGATAATTAGTTAGTGGAATATAATAAATTTATGGAAGAAAGAATTTTAAAATAAAACTTAGAAGCAAAAGAGCATTGTTAATTTATAATAGTAATTAATGCAGAAATGAAAGTAATTTAAAATGAAGCAAACTCTTAAGAAGCATTAAAAGATATGAAACTATATCTAGACGAAATAAATCTAATCGTTCAATAGATGCAATTTTAACAGTTTGTACATTTTTTTGAGTAATGTTCTACATATTCAAAAGTATTATGGTTACAAAGAAAAAAATAACTAAGTTAAGTTTCAGAAGCAAATTAGTTTTAATAAAAGTTTGTTATTTTATTTCCTCTCGTGTAATAGCATGGTATTGATCATTTAGAGCAACAAGAAAAGGAAATTTTTTTTTAAATTATAAGAGTTGTAGATTATAATTTATTACTAGATTGGGTCTAAATCTCTGCCAGATCACTAATTAAAGAAGCTAGGATTACAAAGGCTACAACAGATAAAATAAAAAAAGAAACAGCATGGTGGAAATCTGATAAAAAATAAGCTTAAGAAATCTTTCTTAATGAAGAAGAGATTGTAGCAATAAATAAGTCAATTGATTAAATATTTTAAGAGGAAAGATAGAAGGTAATGAATAGGCCTGACGAAGCTTTAGAATATTAATTTTCATTTCAATTAAACAAGGGAAGACTAAAGATTGATAATTAAGGAGATGGATTATAAATAACCTTTTAAGGAATGTAATGCTCATCAGAAACAAGGGTCAATTAGAGTTTCGATGTGATTTTTAAATTGCAAAGTTTAAATCTTGATTTAATAATTAAAGATGATACATTACCTTTTTGCTATAAATAACATGAAATGAATAAAATTGATTAGTTTTTGAAAATTCACTTTAAAAAAAATCCTAAAAATTTTGAAGAGGATGCATCAATGATGATTTAAGTAGAACCTATAGAATGTAAATATAACAATGATATAATACGTAAATGGAATAATTTTTTTAATATTGAGGGTATTTTAGAGAATGTGGTTCAGATAGCAGCATAAGAAAAATTAAATTAAGTAGGTAATCAAACAGCAGCCAGACTTGATTAAGTAATGAACAGTTAATATAGGTTAGAATTATTTGTTCTCATAGCAAGCCCTAGAATCATTTTAAATAATATTATTTTTGATTTAGGCAACCTTAGTATTCAAAGTGAAAAAGATTCAAAATACTATGATTATTATACACTTTCAATAACAAATCTCAATTTAAAGTCAAATTAATTAGATATACTGTAAAAGTTATCTTTATAATTTTCTATTGAGAGAATGAAAGGAGCTTTAGAGCATCCTGATAAACCAAGACTAATTTTAAGTGGTATTGTGCCCCCTGTTTCAATTACTTTAACTGAAGAAATTTAGAAGGAAATATCAACTATAGACAAATAAATTTTTCCTGAAAAGAGTGAAGAAGAGAAATTAAAAAAACTAACAAAAGAGAAATAATAGATTGTAAAAAATTCAAAATATAAAGGAGAAATGACAAGGAAAATAAATTATTTATGGACAAAGAGATTTGCTATTGTTTCAGGATCTTATTTATATTGTTATCAAAAAGAACATGACTTAAAATGGGAAGATAGAATTTTATTGAAAGGAGCTACTTTAATAGAAAATTAAGAATGCATGATTCTGTAGAACAATCAAAACTGGTATTTGAAAATAGATGAGAAGTTGTCAAAAGAGCTGACAAATATTTTAGATGAATTTAAAGAAGACGGAAGTTTTTAAATGAATTAAATGGATTAATCTTTAATGTAAGTTTAATTAAAATTATCCCTCTTTAATTTAAATTTAATTAAAGCTAATCAATGTCTTTACTCTCTCAAACTAGAAGATGTATATTATAAATCTCATAAATAAACAAATAAATTTAATAATACAATAATATTGGGAGATCTTGAAATTATAGACCTAGTTTATAAATTTGAAAATGCTGACCTTTAATATTTAATTAGAAAAGAACCAAAATTTAAGGATGCGTTTCTTACAATAGAAAATGAAATCTTACATAATTGTTCATAAACAACTTTAAATATTGGACAGTTTATTTTAAACTGGAAACCTGACAGTTACTTATCCTTTTAATAATTAAGAAAACTAGGGACTTAAGCTTTCGGTATTGATGCAATAAATTTAGAGGATGAGGAAGCATCCTTAGTTTTATAGGGAGAATCAAGTGATTCAATTTTTCAGCATAAGTTAGATTAATTATTGAACTAATAAACAAAAAGATGTTATAATAATGAATTTTCAAAACATATAAACATGTTAATATCTAAATAAGCTGTTGAAAAGAATATTACTTAAATAAAGGAATTTTTTAATAGTTTTTCTATTGAATCTGTGTAAAAAATAGCCTTAAAAATAGAATAAGCATAAGTAAATTTAATACATAGATAATCACATATTCAATTAGGGTATATTAAAGTTGATGATTTAACACACGAAGTAGAGTTCACTTAAAACTGTAAATTTATGATGGGAAAATTAGCATAGTTAAAAGTTTTCGATATAACAAATTACCCTTTTACATTAAAATAAATTAATCCAATTGAAATTGTTAACCTAAATCAAATTTCTTATGAATATGCTAATTATAATAAAGACTATTTGATAGATTAAAATGAGATTACAACTACATTTAGCATTTTCTCAATTAATAATGCTATTTTTGAATATTAACATCAACAAATAAATAGATTTTAAAATTATTTATTCATTTAAATAATTTAACTTATTTAGAATCCTTCTTAAGTGATTATGAATGATGGAAAAGAAAAATCTAAACTTGTTTGCGGTACTATAGAATAATTGTTTAATTCTTTTATGAATCCTTAATTTATGAAATCGAAATATGAATTGAAGAATGTAACAATAAATATCAGAAAGTAATATTAAGATATGGATAAAATATCTTTTATTATTAATAATTTAACTTATTCAAATTCTTAAATTTAAGAACCAGAAAGATAAAATAATACAAGCGAAAAGTTACCAATTTGGGTAGATGAAGGAACTTTAGTAATAAATAATATTGAATTAGCAATCAACGATTTAATTAAATCTAAAAAAAATAATTTTAAGCTCACTTAATATAAATTAATATTTGAAAATGAAATGAAACAATTATTTTGTTTAAATATTAGAAATAACTATGAAATCAAGAGCTACATGCCAGAATTAGAGGTTGAATTAACTAAAAAGGATTTTTTACTCTTGATAACAATTTTATCTTTTAATTTGTTAACTAATGATTAACAAGATTAATTATTTATCCATGATTATCATATATACTCAAAATTTAATCCTGTAGAGATAAGAGCATTATTTTATTTTTAAAATTTTACTCTAAAAATTATAGATTAAGGGATTAAAATGTAATTTAAATCAACATAAATTGAGGCATTTCTTACATAAAATTAAAATAAAATTATTAATATGTATTGTTAAAAATTTGTTATCGATTAACTTAATAATTTTCTTGTCGGAAGTTAGGAGGATCAAAACAATTAATAAGAAATTATTTTACAATTTTATTAGCCTTACGAATATTTAACAGAAACTTCATTTAAAAAGCAAGGCAGATAATAAACTCCAGGTTTTGAATGTAAAATAGATTATATCATATCAACCAATTCAAAAGAACTTATAGTTGATTTTGAAAATACTATATGTTTTGCTTATAGCGAAGCTTTATTACAGATTTTAAATTTTATAGAGTTAGATGATAATTGTTTTCCACCTGAGGAATTGATGATTTTTAAAAAATAAATTACAGTGATAAATTGGAGAGGTATTATTGTCTATCCAAATGAAAATGCAAGAGAGAATCTTGTTTAAAGAGGGGGTATAAATTTTATTTTAGAAAAAACTAAAAATAGCATATCTCATAAACTAACGATCACTAATTTGGAAGTATTTTTATGTCCACAAAACGAATTACTAGAGTATAGTTTTGATGATGTAGCAAAAAGACATATAGTGTTGCCTATGTTTGCATTTATAGGATTAAATCAATAAGAGAATCAAGCATAACTTGATTTTTCGATAGATAATTTAAATATTCAAATTTCATATGAAGATCTTACACCTATTTTTGCGACATATTTATTCTAAAAAAAATAATTTGAAAAGCAATAAGCAACGAAATAACATAAATAAAATGAAGATAACTTAGTATTAGCTAATGTCTAAATTTATTAAGCTGAAATGGTTTTAGTATCTTTTAATGAAAGTCCTGTGCCATTATTTTAATTTATTATTAAAGATTATCAAATGAGTTTTACAAAAAGAAGGAAATATATTATGAATTGGCAAACAATATTTTAAGCTCAATTTTTTAATCTTGATATTGGTGCTTGGGAACCTTTCATTGAACCTTTAGTTATTCTAAGCGATCATTCAAAAGATGATAAAGGTAATCCTTAGGACTTTACTTCAATTGTTGTAAATGAATCAAGTGAATTACCAATGAATATCAATTTTACAAAAGAAAACATTAAATAATTGATAGAATTGTAAAAAAGATGGGAGTAGTCAATAAAAAATGTTGAATCGAGCATTCAAATAAAATAGCGTTCTCCTTCTAGAATTTCTAGGAATAGTTCTATAGTATAATCTGCTATTGAAAAAGTTGTTTGTATGTCTCCATATATAATTGATAATCAAACTGGATTTGAAATAGAATTAACTATAATTAATAAGACATAAAAAAAAATGGATACAGTAATTGTTTCAGCAAATTAGTAATATGGATTAAAATATGCAGATAAATTGGAAAAAAGAGTGTTTTCAATTTTTATAAGATCTCCTCAATTTCAATTCAAAGAAATCAATAATTTAACTTTTTCAAAAAATAAAGATGAATCAAAATTGATTGAATACAAGATAGGAATGCTTAATAAACAAACCTAAGTTTTAATTAGATTATAGACTTTAGATTAATAAAAAATAATGACTATTAGTTCAAATATATTATTTCTTAATAATAGTGAATAAAATGTAGAAATCAAGTTGGCAAATAAACTAACATAATAATATTTAAATTTAATTGTATAAAATAATGATTAAAAATACATTCCATTAGGATATGAATAATCATTATTATAAATTAAATATTCAAATGAAGGAGTTTGGTCTTAAGCAATGGATATTTAAAAACTTATAATAAAAAATGGCAATTATAATTTATTTATTAATACTCCTTGTTTAATTTTACGAGTTAATCAACCTGCTTTGACAACTTTACCATTAGAAATTAAATTTGTTTGCCCTTTTGCCATTAGAAACTTATTACTTTTGCCTATTGATATTTGTTTTAGTATTGAGGATCTTTTTAGAATATAGCCAGGTCAAATTTTAAAGATATCAAATTCATAATTAAGCAAAGGCTTAAAATTTAAAATTAAATTACCAGGATTTTAAAGATCTGAATATATAGAAATAAATGATAAATTCTCATAATCTAAGAATTTTGTAATTAGAGATTTTCTTGGTTTAGAATTAATTCTTGAATTAATTCCTTTATAAGATGGAGACGGATTAATTACAATTGGAGTAGATGGAGGATTAACGATATAGAATTCATTAGGATTAGATATTTTTTTTTATACACTTAATTAATAGAAATAATTGATTTACCAACCTGGTTAACCAATATTTTAAATAACTGATTAAAATGATGATAAATTAAGAGAGGATGGATGCTTATAAATTGTTAATTCTATTGATAATTTAGTTGTTACTTTTGAAGAATGCAATCAAGAATAAATAGCCAAATAATTATCTTAGCCTATTGATACAAAAATAAATGGATCATTTCTAGTTTAGATTCCAAGAGAAAATGGTTATATGGATGTCATAATTGATGTTTAGACAATCATAGTGCACAATATAAGTTAAAAAAAAATAATTAACCTAAATCCCAGAATTGTTATTGTTAATAAATTAAAAACAAATCTTACTATATTTTAAGATCGTTGTAATTAAGAAATGTTTTTAATGCCTAACGCTAGATTTCCATATTTTTGGAGAAAAACTTAAGGCTCAAAATTTTTAAAATTTAAGATAAAAGATTTATGTAGTGGAGCGATCTCAGATGGAATGTAAGGTAATATTGCTTTGCCTTTAAGAAATTCTAAAGGGTAGTTGATGGATTATTTAAGTATAAATTGTATGGAAGGGGATAAAATTAAATATATAATAGTACAAGAATGTACTCAAAAACCACTCTATAAAATAATTAATAAATTAAAATATGATATTTGTTTTTATCAAACTGAAATTTAGGAATTGAATGAATTTATCAAAACAAATCTACCAAATGGAGGTAGTGTTGATTATTCCTTAGATAATCCTGGCTATCATAGAACGATTACTTTAGAATTATATCAAAATGGATAATTCTCTGATTTTGTGAAAGTTGAATTAGTTAATTCGGATCAAACCCGTTAATATAAGATGGCTGATGATGAAATTTTCTATTTAAATACTTAATTTTCATTAGATTAAAGATAAATGATAGTCATTATTTCAAATAATGAGATACTTAAAAAAAAATTGAATTACGATAATATTCTCACTTAATTTAGTGTTCTAATACCTAAATTGAATATATCAATTATAAATTCTCATCCAAGAGAAGAATTGCTTAATATTTCTATTTAGAAAATAGAATTTATTTAAATTACTGATGTATTGGAAACTATATAAATGAAAATTTAAGATTTATAAATAGATAATAATTAATATTTTCGCTGCACATATCCAGTTTTTGTTACATAATAAAATGAAAAATAAAATATTCCATTTATGAATGCTTTGTTAAAAAGGGCACATCAAATAAATTTTATTAATTATTTTGAAACAGTTAAATTAGCTATTCAACCTATTTCTGTTAAAATAACTGAAGGAACTTTTTGTGAATTGGAAAGTTACCTAAAATCTTTAAAATGGATTGAAGAATAAAATATGAAAGAATTACGAATATGGTAAAAAGAAATAAGTTTAAAACAATAATTATGTTTTTTTGATAATTTATAATTTTATCCTCTAAAATTAAAACTTTCATTTTAGAAAGTTGAAAAAAAAAATAACAAAGAATATTTCAAATCAGCTGCTAATTAAGCTATCAATTGTGATGAAGTAGGCATGACAATTAAAGGTTATGCAATGAGCAATTGTTTTACCACTTGGGAGTAATTGTAAAATAAAATGTTATAAAATTATAAAGACACTATATTTTCAAATTTATATAAGTTGGCAGGTTCAATTGATTTATTGGGGAATCCAATAGGATTGATTGAAAATGTTTAGGAAGGTTTCCAAGATTTATTTGAGATGCCTTATGATGGATTTGTTTAAGGACCTTTAGAAGGAGGTTTAGGAATAGTCAAAGGAGTAGGATCATTAACAAAAGGTGTAGTTTCTGGTACATTTAATTCTGTTAGCAAAATAACTGGAAGTGTAGCCTCAGGTATATCATAATTATCAATGGATGATGAGTATTTGTAATAAAGATAATTATAAAATGCAAAAAAGGCTAAAACAGTTGTTCATGGTCTTGGATATGGGATGGTAAGTCTTTTTTCAGGAGTTGGTTATGGTATAGCTGGACTTGTTACTCAACCTTATTAGGGAGCTGAAAAAGAAGGAGTAGGAGGTTTTTTTAAGGGAGTTTCAAAAGGATTAGCAGGTTTAGTAATCAAACCGGTTACAGGAGCTTTGGATTTAGTTAGTAAAACTACAGAAGGAGTAAAAAATACAGCTAATTTTTTCGATGAAAAGCCAAATGAAACAAGAAAAAGACTTCCTAGAATATTTTATGGGGAAGAACTTATTTTAAGAAATTTTATGCTATAAGATTCAGAGATTATGTATATATTAGATAGTAATATTATTAATATATTATTTTAGAGTTAATTCCTGCATAAATTTTAATTGACACATTTGTATTTATGATTACTAAATATAAGTTTGCTTATGTACTGACAACTAAACAATTTATATTACTAGAAATTTTTAAAAAATAGGTTTTAATTGCTTTTAATAATGACAATTTAAAAGCATTTGAATCTGAATAAAAAGAATTTAAGATCTATCTTTACAATTCTAAAATAATATATAAAGAAAGAGCAAAAGTTAAGGCTTCAATAGAATTCAAGAAAGAATGCTTAATAATAAAGTAATCAGATGAAACAATACATCAATTTTTGAATTAGAAGTTTAAATAAATTCTTCATTTATTATATGATGTTTGAATGAAAAATTATTCAAATGAAAATTTTTATTAACTTAAATAAATATATTGTTAAAACATTATAATTTTTTTAACTATCATTAATTCAATAATATTGAATGAGCTAGTTGCTTTAATTTTTATTATTGAACATCTTCAAATGATTTATATAGATAAAATTCTAGCATTTGCAAAGGAATTTATTTAGCAACTTTAACTATTTATTTTATATCATGTAGGAAAGGTAAGTTATAAATTGATAAAAAGCTATAAACTCTATTAGAGATCTAATTTAAAGATTTATTTTTAAAATCTTAATTAATATATTTATTTAATTCTGAATTTGTAACACTAATTGTAGGGATCAATTTTGAAATAACTTCTTAAGATAGTACTAATTTATTTTGGTATAATTTATAAAACAATGCAAGAATTGGAATATGTGTATATTTGTTAGAATTGAATAAAGAGGCTAGAATTTGAATAAAATTACTTTGATCGTGTTATAATAATTTTAGAAAATGTGACTTTTCTTTTGAATTTTTAATGAATTTATATTCATAAAGTCCATCAAGTTTTAAATCAATTGTTTACATGTCCCCTATTAATAAAAGAGTATCAATATGATTCAAAGTGTTATTTGGGTTTAATAAATCTTGATTATTTTAACTTAAAACTTTTGATTAAACATATATAGTTTATACTGCTTTATTTGTAAATGAAAAGTTTGATTGGCAATAATTAGGGTCAGTAAAAATTTCCTTTTTAATTTATAGATTGACAGTTTTGTGTGTTTTGACATCAATAATCTTAAAAATTTTAGGTCTAATTGATAACACATAACTCCATCTTAAAGCTTATAAATACTATTTGTTATCCCCAGGATTAGCTGGATAATAAGGATAAAGAGATAATAAAAGCATACTTATAGCTTTTTTAGATTTTTTGAAAGAGTATCCACCTTTTCCCATAAATACAAAGCCGATGGCCATTTTAATACCTTAATGAAAACCAAAATGCCAGATTTATGAATTTTCCATTTTTTGTATTAAAGATTTAGCTATTGACAATACTTCTTAATCAAAACTTCCTGCCATAAGAAGAGATAATCCTTATAAAGCATTGACTATATTAGTATAATATGTGTATTAATCAACAGCGCATTTATTGTCTGGATCATTAGCAAATTCATTTTAAGAAATTCTAAGTTTAATTAAGAATTCAATTTATTTAATCATAAGTTGTTTGACTTATTAATCATGAGTACCAGCATATTTAATACCGATGGCTAATAAAGCTCCAGAAATCATACCTGTGTATATCATACTTACAGACATAAAATCAATAACTTCTACATTATAAACTAAATAGAACTTTTAATGAATCTTTTTTAAAGGTTGTTCAAATAAAAATGAAATCAATTCTGGAATTTAAGAGTGTAATTGAGTTTGATTAATAGGAATATTATCCCACATAATAATATTTCTAGTTAAAGATTTGAGAATAATATGGTTAGGATTGCAACTCTCTAGACTGCTAAAAGAATTAGGAATATTTAATTAATCCACAATATTTTATTGATTCATTTACATAAACATTAAACTTAAAGCCATTAGAGCAGCTGGACAAGTAACATGAACATTAACCATGCTTCCTTCTTTTATTGAGCTACTTACACTTTCATTTTACATAAAATTAGTTGATAAAGAAGATTAAGGAGGAGGAAGTACTTTACCTCCTTATACAAATCTAATTAATCGATCCACAATTTAAAGTTCTCTTCTCCATACACTTCCTTTTCCTAAATTAATTAATCCTAACGCTATTCCAGCTGCAAGAGAATATCCTTCTCTATCTATTACCTTATCATTATGAGGTTTCCTGCCAATCAAACCTAAAGCAACTTCAGTAAAATTTCTATTTCCACTAGCCATAAATAAGAATCCGAGTGAACATAACGCACTAGTAGAAACATTACTAGGTAATTCTAAATCATAAACACTTGGTATTAAACTTGGAATATGAACTGTTAATGATTTTTATGTAGGTTCATCACAAGTTCCAATTCTTGAAGCACCTATTCCTAATAATACTCCTACACTAGTTGCTTCATGGTTTTATGTAAGAAGTTAATATAAATCAATTTAATTAAATGAATTTAGATATCCTAATAATCCTAACCCTAACATAAATCCACCATGAATATTAGAAGGATTTTATGGTTTCTAATAAAATATCCAAGTTCTAAGGGATTCTTGACTTAATCCTTTAAGCTTCTTTGACAATTATAATGACAACGTTACTCCTAGGTGAAATTCTGGCCATTATGTCATCTATGTATAATCTTCTCTTGTTGAATCTATTGTTAATTTCAAACTATTCTATTGTAAAATTCCAGATAAATTTAAACATGGAAATTTTATTTAATCTGTTATGAAGTGATCACTTGTTCCATATGTCAGTGATCCCAATCCAACAAACATTGCTAGTTTTCTATTTAATAACTTCAATAATACAGAAGGAGCATCTTAATCCAATCTCTCTTCAGGAATATGCTCTGTCATTTTTGTTTTTATTCTAATATCTCTACTAAAATCAAATTATCTCTTAACCTGTTACATCAAATGTTAATCATATTAAATATCATTATCATCCTCATTTTATAAACTTTTTATTTAACCACTTAATATTGAATTCACATATTTCTTAAATTCACATTCTACATTATTTTCAATATACAATTTGCAATTCAAATAGATATCCATTCTATCTATTAATAAATATGCATCTTTTCTTATTTATCCCATTAAATCATTAGAAAAATTATCTCTTAATAATGTTATGATTTCTAAAATTACAATTTTAAATTATAAAGGCAGTTTGTTTATTGTATCTCTGTTCCAACGCTTCTCACTGCATAGATAAAGCATTAAAGATGGTCCTCTTAATTTTGTTAGCATTTCTAGTTTATTTTTCTTTTACTCAATGTATTTATTTTGTAATTTGTGATTTATCACTTTTTAAAAAAATAATTGTGTTTTTTGTACTTAATATAAAACCTAAAAATCTTAAACTTCACTTTATAATATTGAAGAAATATGAATTAATTGTTTCTTGAGAATAGATTGCAATATAATGCATAGTTATTTTGTTTTCTTAAATAAAATTGGAAATGATATTGGATTATTCATTAATAAACTACTCAACCATTTATTTAAATCTATCGGATTTGGAGGTAAAATCTTTTGTTTATTTTATTACTATTATGAAGCTAATAAGGTTAACGACCTAATTGTTGGCAAAAGTGAAATAAAATTATCGTTTTAATACATTTATTATAATTCTGGATTTATTCTGAGATAATAATCGCTATAATTAACAGCAACTTCATTATCCATGTTAAGTGAATAATAATACAATAAAATCAATAATTTATTAGCTTACTTTTCATCTGATAACAATAATTCTTAATACAATAAATGTAGAACATATAAAATCTTGTCTTAAATTTCATTAAACATTTCCATAGTCATATGGTATATAAAATTTAAATTTTCTTACTAATTAGGCTGTTAATAACAATATTATTAATTGCTATGATAACTGGAATTTTCTTTGTGATAATTTGATTTTAATAATTGCTAAAAGGATTTAGAAATTTCTTTGATTGGAGATTATTATACTGATGAAGAATTACTTTTAATCTTTTTTTAAATTTAATCCTCACAATCTTTTTTATTACTACTTAATTTTAAGTAACATAGCATTAGGTAAGTAAATCTCATAAATTCATTATCTATGTTATTGTTTGACATTTCTAGCTTGAGATTCTAGTTTTACAAGCAGTTGATAATAATATCTTTAAACAAGCAAATATATTACTGTGTATCCAAAGCAATCTTTAAGGAATTCAAGATTGTTTGTAATAAAGGTTCTGTTATAATAGGAGCACAATTAAATTAAGAAATATCATTAATTTATTCATTAATTTGATAATTTAATAGAATTTTACTACCATTTAACAAAGTAAAAGTTGAGTTTGTATGTAAAATTAATAAATTTTAAGGTATATTATTATGGTTAATTATTTGATATGCTACATATTCAAATTAGTTGTTTTAATATTTCAATTTTTCTTTTTTGATAGAAATAGTTTCAGCATATATTGTATCAATCATATTAAATACTTAAATTTAATTAACTTTTTGAATAGTTTAAACGAGTTTTAAACTATTAAATATATTTTTAGTTTTATTTTCTTCTAAAAAATTCATTTCTAAAATTCTTATTGTATGATCAGATAATAGGCAAATCAATAATTCTCCATCAACATTGCTTCTTATTATTTCACATTATTTAGCCTTTTCTTCTTTTATATTTTCCTCATAATATAATTCACTAATAATCTAATTGATAAATAATTGTAAAAATTTACTTAACAATCAGTTTTTTCCATTAAATTGTAATTTTGTACTTCTTATTGATCATCAACTTTTAAAATATAAACACAATGTCTCATTAATTATGAATTATAGGTTATCAATATTGGCAGAATTTTATGAGCATAAATAATTTCTTCCTACATATGTATCCAAGGCTCAATTGTTCCTAAGGTGCTATTGTATGTTCCTAATGTAGTAATTGATGCTAATGGATGATTTAATACAACAGAGTAATTAAATTCATCTCTACCCCAACCTAGTAAGAGTCCTTCAGACAATGGGAAAACTTAGTTTATTTCTACATCTAAAGGTAAAAAGAATTAATTTCCTCCTTTTGACAAAAAATTAATTGACTTATCTGATTGATTTACATAATATTGTGTATTAGATTGGCTTTAGTAATTATTTATATATACCTTTGCTAATAGATGGATTCCTCTTAAATCTTTTCAATCGAAGTGATTTCGTTGAAGAAACAACTTTATTAACTCATAATAATTTCAAATTTAAATATTAGTAATTACTATCAAATAATGCTCTTCGCTATATACACATTTTTGCGTTCATTCAAATATGTTACGAAATTAGAGCTTCTAATAAATGTCTGATATAGCTTCACAAATTTTTGTTTATTTTCAAATAAATCTTGAAATGAGACTTTACAATTTTTTGTAAACTCTAAAAATTCTTTTTCATCAAACTTTTTTACTTACTAAATATAAAATATAATTTGTACATTTTATTAATTTGCAAAATACATTTCAAAAAGTCCAATAAATTCTAAAGACATATTTCGATAAACTTTCTTTATTAATGAATTATTAATAGTTTTAGTTTCTTCATTTTTAATAGGTATCATCATTTTAAGTGTTTGTCTATCATCAAGCAAACAAAACTCTTTATTTCCTTAAGTTTATAATCTATTTTATTAGGCTTATGAATCGCATCTTATAATAATTGGGAATTTCTTCAATGCCTATAATTTTTATTGATATTTTATACTTTTAAGAAAAAAGGATTTGTAACACCTATAATGATATTTCGAACAATTGAGTTTTCAAGTTCTTAATTAATTTATTGAAATTCTTTATCATAAATAGTAAAATATGGTCTATAATCGCCACTAAATTTCATTGGTGAAATTAAGCTAATCATTCCAAGAATAATTTCACTGCATTGATAAGGGGAATCAGCAATAACCATAAATTATTGATTAGTGAGAATAAGTTCCCATAACTTCGGTAAATGAACTAACATAGAATGACTTTTAGTTTTTGATTATTAAATTACGGTAATGCTGCAAAAATATTGGCTTCTTAGAATTATCCAATGTCTCTTAAGTCATCAAGTTGTATCATGTTTGTAAGAGTTAACTCATCTAATACTTGTTATAATTCAACATTCATTTAAGAATCAACTTTTTACATCTTCAAATAATGTGGAACTTCTACTGCTATTTTATTATTAAATATTTAGAGATTAAATACTTAATTGGGTTATGGTTTTTCCCAACTATTTATTTATTCATAAGCATGCTTCGAAATAAAAATTAGATTTACTTATAATTATGCTTTCAAACATCCTTGCTTAATATTTTAATATATTATTTCCAATAAATTATAATAGAAAGTAACAAGAGGCAATATTGTTAAAATTACTATCGATTTCTATGTGTATCCTCTTGGATTATCTTCATCTTTCCTTTACATAAATAATGCAAATCCCAATGAAAATTAATTCTTTCCTCCTGACCTTCTAACTCGAAAAACATATTTAAGATGACCTAAATTAAAATAAATCAATTTTACCTTCGTTTTAAGAAAATGCATTTGAATCTGGAAATGCTAACATGCTAATATTCTTTTCTTCTTATTCTGTTATTGATTTTAATGGTTAAGTCCATTCAACTATTTGACCAATTTCAATATCAAATTTTACTAAACATATACTCTCAATCCATTAAGAAAGCATTAATTTAGAAATTATAATAAAACAAATAATCGCATTTACATTTTGAAAACATATATAATTCGGATGAATCAATTTAAAATAAGGTTTCTATCTTATCTTAAATATCATTAAATAATTGGTATTCATAAAGACTAATTTAGATTAAATTTACATAAAAATTTTATATATCAAGGCGATTATAAATTAAATCATCTTTGCATAGTTCCACCTGTGCTTTCTTACATACAATTATAATAAAAATTTTTTAAGATGATATCTTTAGGGTAATTTTCCATAACATTTTATTAAAGTGGTTTTATGTATTACAAAAATTCTGCTTCACCCTTACCAAATTCTTCTTCATCGAAATTAAAGGCAAAACAATCAGGCTTGAAAGGAGGCTCAATTTTTTTTGACAATAAATCTTTGTAAAGGTTTTTATCTCCCCATTAAAGCATCCAAGGATGTCTCAATATAGTTTCGATGCTTTCGATTCTTTTTTTAGGATTTTTTGCTAATAATCCACTTAAGAGATCTTTAATAGATGCAGATAAATTTTATGGAAAGGTAAGTTTTGCATTTAAGATTCTTTAATATATTTCATCTGTATTTCTTGAATAGAATGGAGGTAATCCTGTAACTAGTTCATATAGAAGTGCTCCTAGACAATATAAATCTAACTATATAGTATGTCCTGACTTTAAAAGCATTTCAGGTGCCATGTATTCTGGACTACCACAAAAAGAGTAAGCAATTTCTTGATCAACCATTCCTGGTTTTGATAATCCAAAATCAGCTATACGAACATGTCCATCAAAATCAATCAAAATATTCTCTGGTTTGATATCTCTATAAATAATATTATTATCATGAAGGTTTTTCATTCCAAGACAAATTTCAGCAAAATAAAAAAAAGCTTCTTATTCATTCATTCTTTTTACCTATTAATAGGTTGATTTGTTTTACCTTTCTTAATAGATAAAATAGTTCTCCTCCAAAACAATATTCTAAAACAAAAACTAAATATTTTCTTGATTCAAAAGCATACTATAAACCAACAATAAAAGGATGATCCAAATGTGACATAATATCTCTTTCTTATTGTATAATTTGTTATTTATTTTATTAAAGGATAGGCTTTTTTTCAATTAATTTCATAGCATAAAACTACCCAGTATGAACCTCTCTAACCATATAAACTTTAGAAAATCCTCCCATTCCTATACATCTTATAAACTCAAAATCTTTAAGTGTGACTCTTGCTGATTTAGGTTCATTAGGGTTTAGAATTATTGGTTCTATTTATAAAGGTTGAATTGGAAATCCAGCTAAGAGACTTAAAGGTTTATCTGATTTGGATAGAATAAAATCTACAGGTATTGAAATACCTGTAGTTCTTATTCCTTAAATTGGTATTCCTAACTCTTGCTTAACAAAATCAATTAACCATTATATTTTATTGATTGATATGTCTATTGCATATTTTTAACGGAAGTTTTTATATTAAAGCACAATTGTCATCATTTCCTATTTTCTGTTAATAATAAAATAAATTTATACCTTGCAGTAGTTGGTTTAAACTTCTCTAAAAATATAAGGGGTTATGAGCCAGAATGAGTTTAAAATTTTTATTCCATAGATGGACTCTTAGGAAAGAATTATTGCTATTTAGAGTTCTTAGTCTTAGTTAACAATTCTTCTAAAAGTTTTTTTTCTTTGCTAACAACTTTACTTGTAGCTGAAAGTGGAATTGACATTAATTATTACATCGACTCTTTTAAATTAACTTATGAGTTCTAGTGAGAATGAGGCTATGTTTTCATATGGATTTGACTCAAAACCTTTGGAGACATTAAGCCAATTCTTGATTTCGTTGTTTCAGGTTATTGCAATTTTCTTTAGCTTTATCTCATCATGTTTTAAAGCAAAGTCTATTACTACTAAGTTACTTTAACTGGTTATGGACTTTGATGTGTCTATGTCTTCATTTTTAGTTAATCAAGTTATTTAGTTGGAGATTGTCTACCATTTTGTGTATCTCTGTTTGATAGAAAATTTATTATTGCTTAAGCAGAGATGTCAGAAGACTAAGTTTTATGATGTTGTTTCTTTGGATGCATTAATAATTAAATTAATGGAAGATAATTATAATACAAATCCTAGTTCATAACCTGATGAAAACCCATATCCTAGATTTTAACCAGAAAAATAAATTGAATAACCCTATCCAGAATAACCTCAATAATATGCTTATACAAATGATTTAAATTAACCATTAATTATGGGTGAAAATTAACATGAGAGTTCAGGAGGCAATGTTGACAAATTCTTACACTATACTAAATTACTCAATATTGGTGCAGGGTAAAAATATTAATATTCAAGAACTTATGTTACCATTGTTGGTTTATACTTATTATTCACTTTGAAAATATGGAATTCTTCAGATATTTTAATGTCATTTTATACAATGTTTCTTCCATTCTTCTATGTGTAATTATTTGATATCAACCTATAGTTTTTTT